ACCATCTTAGACTCGGATATACCAGCCTTCATTGTTTCTCTTGCTCTCAGAGTCAAAATCTTCTCCACCCTACGTGCCCCAGATGGACAGTGGTGAAGGGAGTGCACCTTGGAGAAGACCTTAGAACATAGCTGGTCTTCACCCAGGTGTCATCTACCTGTTGGCGACTATAACCTTGTTGGAAAAATAAGTTCTCAGAAGAGATTTCAGTTGCCATCTTCCTTTGCTTTGAAACAGGTTCTTCTTCCTGTCCAATGATGAGCTGCTGGAGATCTTGTCAGAGACCAAGGACCCCCTCCGAGTGCAGCCGCACTTAAAGAAGTGCTTTGAAGGAATTGCCAAGCTGGACTTTACAGACAGTTTGGAGATTTTGGGCATGATCAGCTCGGAAAAAGAAATCGTTCCATTCAAACAGAAAGTCTACCCAGCTCAAGCCAAAGTAATTTCCCTTAGCTGTTTTGGGGTTTTCATAACGGAGCAAAACAGAGACAGAGAGCATACTGGTAAAGCATTTAGACTCCAGTTTCAGTCTGCCTGGGTGTGGGGCACATGGGTTTCCACAACTTAAGGACTGGGCGACTTTGGGAAGTGACTCCTTTCCGAGTCTCAGTTTGCCCATCCCTAAAATGCAGAGGATACTGCAGCCGATGTGACACACTAAATTTGTGGAAGGATTTTAACCAAACTTGATGTGGAGGCGGTAGCAGGAATCAGATCTGAACTGATGGCTGTTCAGATTTCCATGAGCAGAGCCCAGTTAAAAGTAATTCGGTCAGACAGTTTGCTGGGGCAGGTGTTTTCAAAGGTCAGTGAAACAGAATCAGCCATTTAACTCTGATTTTTATACACGTGTACTTACATAATGAGTAAAGTGTAAACTACTTCCAGTCCTGCTGGCGGTGACGGCACCCTCATTGAAGCAGGGAGCCACTCTTGGCCTCACGTTGCGGACCTTCCTGCCACCACCGCACATCGGCCGGCTCACGGGGGCCGGAAGGCACCAGCTACCGTGACCTGAAGTTCTGAAACTAAATAACTTGCTGCGCATTTTAGTTACCTGTTGAGCGTTGAAAGAAACCAGATGCCCAGCCACATCCCAGGTCACATACCCGGTTACACCCTGGGAGTGGGAGGCAGGCATCTGTATCTGTATTTTTTTTTTTTTTTACAGATCTCCAGATAATTCCAAAGCACAGCAAATCTGGGCACCACTGGAATACTGAAAGGACTCAAACTGTTCATTAGAAATGAGTAGTTGTCTGAGAAGTGGTCTGTTTCAGAAAATGATGTGAAAGAAGTACATGTTAAAAATCCCTTATTGTTTCTTTTATAAGACATACACTTCCTAGAATACAGTAAACAACTGTAAAACAAATAGTTAAAGAATATTGGCTTGAAGAGGTGTGTAAAGAAGGAAGGAACTTTCCTCTACCCGCAAGGCTCTTTTGGCTGGTCGACAGTCAAATAAACATGAGCTAGATGAAGTAGAGAAAATAACCGAATTTAAGCACATGCAGAGAGAGTCAGAGAGCCCACACACGTAAGGTTCGGAGACAGAAAGGGAAACTGAGGTGTGTAAGAATTCCGAGTGAGTGGTGAGGAGGTGCCTTGGGGTTTCAGAAGGTTACCGCAGGGAGAGCGTGTGTTCGGTAATTAGGAGTTGGCCCTGCCATATAGGTAGGTCAAAGTCATTGCTGGTTTTTCTTATTATGGACCAGGCTCCTAATTTAAATTCTTCTAGATAGTTATGGTGGGGGCAGAAGTTTCTCTTGAACTTGCAGGGTCTTGCCTTTAGCTCAAAATAATTCATACATCACTGAGGCACATCTTGGGGTGGCTGGTTCTGAACCCCCACAGGAGCAAACCCTTGGCCTCCCTCCAGCTCTGTCCAGAGAGAAAGCTGGCTCCTCTGCTGGTCTATCCCTGGGCCTGGCTCACCGAGGCTCCCGTCTGTCTCGCCCGCAGGGCATGGTGGAAAAGTGGCTCCAGCAGGTGGAGCAGATGATGCTGGCCAGCATGCGGGAAGTTATCAGGCTCGGGATTGAGGCGCATGCCCAGGTAAACGGGTATACATGCCAGGGTGTTGGTGCAGCAGCAAGAACTCTGGGGAGGTTAAATGGATCAGTTTTCTTTTCTATTGAATTTATTTGGGTGACGTTGGGTAATAAAATTATATACGTTTCAGGTGTACAATTCTATAATACATCATCTATATATTGTGTTCTGTGTTCAAGTCTCTTTCTATCACCATTTATCCTAAATGGATCAGTTCTGACTTCTACAGAAGCTCACCTCAGTCCTGCCCGGTACACCTGACCCCTCTGTGCCTCTCTCTTCTTTCCCTGTAAATCCGTTTCTGGTGAAACGNTCATCTGTATATTGTAATGTGTGTTCAAGTCTCTTTCTATCAAGATTTATCCTAAATGGATCAGTTCTGACTTCTATGAAAGCTCACCTCAGTCCTGCCCGGTACACCTGACCCCTCTGTGCCTCTCCTTTCCCTGTAAATCCGTTTCGGGTGAAACATTTGCAACTAGAAGCAGATGACACAGGGGAAGCCAGGAGCCTGAAGCTTCTGGTTGCTGCAGGCCAGTCCTCTCTGTGAAATGAATTGATGGCAAGAGTCCCTTCCAATTAAGCATTCCCCTCCCCAGGCTTTTCATTCGCACTGCCCTGAATGTCACAACTCATTAAGACCCAAAGCTTTAGGAGAAACAGGTAGGCAGAGGCCTAAAGGAAAAGGACCTTTTTAGCCAGCTTCAACTCTTTAGCCAGCCCCTAGCAAACAAAAGAATACTCAATGGACACCTTTCCACTCAAGTAGGGACTGACCCTGCTGGTCCTTGCAGTGGTATTTGCAATGCAAATGAAAGCCCAATCCTTTGTCTTCTGCTATATCAGCCAGTAAGTCAGGACAGGTGGAAGAGGGAAACTGAGGCAAACAGCTGAACGAACTGACAGAAATTTACAGCAGATACAGGAAGTCACCTCCCTAGAAATAACATCGAGGCCTCAGTTGTATTTCAGCTCCAGACCCAGAAAAGCAGCAAAACCAGGTGGGCGACACCAGGACTAAGGACCCCCTGCCCTGGCACTAACCAATCAGTGGAGACCATGNGCAGCAAAACCAGGTGGGCGACACCAGGACTAAGGACCCCCTGCCCTGGCACTAACCAATCAGTGGGGACCATGCCCTGGAGGAGCACACCTAGAAAACTGATGAATATTCTGCTGAAACCCTCCCCTGAGACCTCGCCTAAGATTCCCACCTGCAAGAGAGAAATAAAAGCCTCAAGACAAAGGACACAGTGCGTGCTCACCCTCTGGGGAGCAGCCTACACCATTCCCTTTCCCCTCTTCTGCCCCCACAGGCATGCATCTCCTAAACTCTACTAAACTCTACGGGACCCCACCAGACTTGCACCCAGGGCAGCAATGGGCAGAGGCAGCTCGTCCTGGGCTAACCCCCTGAACCTGTCTCCAAGGTCCCCTTTTCTCTGACTTCTCTAGGCTCTCCTGTTGCTGCTACTTTGCTGAGCCCTTTCTTGTTTTACTATCCCCAGTTTTAATAAACGTTCCCTCATAGTCACCTGGACTCATGAAATTTTTCCTGCATGAAGTCAAGAACCCACACACTACCTGCTGGCCCTAGGCAGACCCGCCAAGGGCCAGGTCTCCTGTCTGGTAACATATTCTAAATCAAAAATTAAAGAAAAACTGCTACCTGTATGGAGTTATCCCATGCAATTGCATCTATAGCAAGAGTCAGCCAACTGTTTCTATAAAGGGCCAGATAATAAATATTTTCAGCTCTTCAGGCCGCCCACACTATTTTGTCTTTGCCTTTGTGGACAATGTATAAACAGTGGGCATAGCTGTGTTGCAATACACCTTTATTTACAAAAACAGCCAGGGACAGAGTTGGCCCTCGGGCCGTAGTTTGCCTGATTTATAGTTAAGAAGAAGAAGGGGGCATGACTAAGAAAGCTGTGGGGCAGCCCTGCAACTTCGTCCAGCTATTAAAGAGTTGTGAATACTTTCTGAACACCACCTGCCTATAACTAGTCAAGTCCCTGGACAGGAGCATGAAACAAAAAGTTAAGAGTTGAGATTGTTGGTGATTTTTTTCCTTTTCTATAAGATTCAGGGAGGAAGGCGTAAGTCAGTAATCCCAGGGATGTCCAGCCATGTAGCTTGAGGCTGGGGAAGGATTTTGTTTGTTTTAAGGGGTGAGATGGGAGGGTGAAGAAGCCAGGTTAAGTCACGCAAGATGAACAGGCCCTATAACATGCCCCACTGTGCTTTCCCAGGTCTCTCGTAATGAGTGGGTCTTGCAGTGGCCTGGCCAGGTGGTTATCTGCGTCTCCTCCATCTTTTGGACCCAGGAGGTGTCTCAAGCCCTGGTTGAAAATACTCTGCCGGTAAGTGAGCCTGTTGTGATTCCAGCTCGATTAGGATTTGAATGACATATAGTTAGAGTAGCTCTGTTTTCTAAATAAAAAAAGCTAATCATGACATCCAACCCGTGAGATCACAGACACCATGTGGGACCTTTGGACAGAGGATTTGGAAGTGGGGCTGCCCTGGAGCTGGCTACGTGGACCACTCTCAGTTCTTCCCCGACAGATCCTGGGCTGCAGGATTCTGAGGTCTCCCAGCCTTTGCCTCCAGGGCCAACCTGGCAGAATTTCTACCAGACAATTTTTTTCCTTTTTAAAAATCATTCTTGTTTTTTAGTCCCTGGCAACTACCAAGCTCTTTTCTGCCCCTGTAGTTTTGTCTTTTCCATAAAATCAATGAAAGTGAAATACAGTATCTAGCCTCTCAAGTTTAACTTCTTTCAGTTAGCATAATGCATTTGAAAATCGTCTGGAGGTTAATGACTGGGGCTGAGGGAAAGGGACCCAGAGGGATGACACCCAGGAGTCTGGCTTCAGCCACTGGGTGGTAGAAGGTGATGCTCCCCTAGAAGGGATTCCCAGGGGAGCATCCAGTTTAACCAGTTGTCCCCCCCATGTCCCTGGCAGCTTTTTCTGGAGAAGAGCAATGATCAGATTGCACAGATTGTCCAGCTGGTGCGAGGGAAGCTGAGCAGCGGGGCTCGCCTCACTCTTGGGGCCCTCACGGTCATCGATGTCCACGGTGAGCACCGAGGCCTCCCTGGCATCCCCCCCATATAGGAGCAGCAGCCAGGCTTGTCTCTCTCCTCCTGCATGGAGGGACTCAGGGTGTCTTTCCCATTAGAGAGGGGGTTCTCCACTGAGAGTAAGGTGCGGGGTAAGGAGAGGACATCACCTCTGGGCAGGCTGAGACAGTGAAGGCCAGTGCTGTTCCTGAGATCCACCACTGGGAGCCATTCCTTACGATGACCAGAGCTAATATTTTTGAATACCTACCAGGTGCCAAGCTTTGTGCTTAGTGCTTGACACACATAACCCCATTTTCACAAACATTTCACAGATTAAGAACCGGAGGCATAGAGAGGTACGAGCCTCTAAGAGGCACACAGCTAGGCAGTAGCAGGGGCTCTTTCGTAATTTGAACCCGTGTCTGTCTGATTCCAAACCCAGGAGACTGGAAATGGGCAGAGATGCAGGAAGCGAGTGGGTGGGAGATGATGCCTTCCAGCTCCTCCTTTAGAAAAGGAAGAGTAAGAACTGGGGTCTTTATGTAAAATAAACACCCCCACACCCTCACTCCATCATCACCAAGGAAACGGGCTGGATCAAGCCAGATTGCCTGGGAAGTGTCCCTCTTACTCACACGCCCAGCCTCACGCGCCCGGCTGGCTTGTCAGGGCATCTTAATCTCCTTAAGGTTGATGTTCATTTCAGCCTGAGAGCGTGTGCATAGACTGGCATGAAACCAGGGAGACGGGAGGGAGAGTGTGACCTTCATCTGGCCACATAGCCAGCTGGTAGGAGTGGTACATGCTGGCGTGGTTACTGCCCAGGGTGCCCCAGAGTGGTTGGGTTCACACACATGAGCTTGCGTGCGCACACACACACACACGCACACACCCCATAGTGTAGGTATCCTCAACTCAGTCCTTTGGGGTCTCTCACGCTAACACTCTGTGGGTTTGCTCAAGAACCTGGAAGGGAATGAAACTCCTGGGGAAGGAAAGGGGGGCTGTTAGTGTCATCTAATTCCAGGACTCTCCCCTGCAGGGTGCGGGATTTTACTGCAGTCAAGAAGACTCCTCTCCTGGGGAGGCAGTGGGCTGGCAGGAGCATCCCTTTGCAGAGCTGTGTTTCTGAGGTCCTGATCTCGAGCTGCTGTATTCGTTCTGAAACCTCAGTAGCTCTTGCCCTGTGAATTACCAAAAAAATCCCACCCACCTAATGTCCACTCTTCAAGTTCAGGGCTCCCATCACTGTGAGAAAATTAAATTAGGCTCGCCAGCCTGTGAGAGAGGGGAGAAAACCGGGAAATGTCCCTCCCAGCTGGTTTCTCAGGCCCCAGGTGAAAAGAAGGCATCTAACCATGGATTCATGGGCCCTCTCCCCTACTAACTACACCAGGCCAAGCGAACTGTATTCTTCTAGGGTATCCTAGGGGCCTGGAGCAGGGCCCACGGGGTCATACTGGGGGTAAGAAAGCACTTGGGGGTGACTACACATGGCAAAGTCCTCTGAGTCAGCCCCACAAAGTTTGGGAATGCTAACAATAGCAATAGTTGTGCTCATGCGGAGATTTCATATGCCAGGCACAGCTCATTTCTCTTTTTTCATTTTGTTCTTTCTTTCCATCTGTCTACCTGTATCTGTGGATGTGGGGGTATGTATAGCTATGTATATATGTGTATGTATGTGTGCTTATAGACACATATATTCGTTTCATCCTCATGATGACCCTATCAGGTAAGTGCTAGGTTATCCCCATTTCACAGATTATGCAACTGAAGGAGAGAGGGGTTAAGTAATTTGCCCAAAGTCACATAGCCAGTTAGTGGCAGAAGCAGAATTCGGACCCAGGCAGTGTGATTCTAGAACCCGCACTTTTACTGCCTCTCCTGTACAACCGTCTGAGAGCAGACAGTCAGTGCAGCAGATCCTCTGCCCGGGCCCTTGGGAGAAGCCAAGAGCAGCGTCTGAAAGGCACTGCTGCCTGCAGGTTAGGGGTGGGCAAGAAAGGTAGTCGAGCCTAAAATTGTCTGAAGAATGAGAGGTGGCCTGGATGCTCCTCTGAGCAGTGGGTGGAGGGCAGAGGAAGCCGATAGCACTATGTGCATGTGTTTCCGTGTCCCAACAGCTCGCGACGTGGTGGCCAAGCTGTCTGAGGACAAAGTCTGTGATCTGAACGACTTCCAGTGGATCTCCCAGCTGCGCTACTACTGGAGGGAGAGTGACGTGGAGGTGGAGATGATCACAACCGAGCTCCTATATGGCTACGAGTACCTGGGCAACTCCCCGCGGCTGGTGATCACGCCCCTCACCGACCGCTGCTACAGGTGACGGGGGAACAGGGAGCTCTGGGAGGAAGGCCTCCTGGGAAAGCAGGTGAAGGGCGTCTTGAGTTTCTCACTTTTACCCTCTATATTTCAGCTTCTCAGAGTTTTGAATTTTGCCCTTAGACACCAGGGGCTCACAGATGGGAAATTAGGACTTAGGCCAGAAATGAGAACCCAGTGGGAGTCCTAATGCAAATTAATGTGGCCAAGCCAACAAGCAGAAGGTTGGTGCCTATCCTTGAAAATGGCTCAGTACTTATGCAGAAAGCCCCCCAATAGCAGAATCAAGATGGTGCCTGGAGATCCTAGGCCAAGAGAGAGCGGGGGGCCAGGTGAAGGACCAGGCAAGTGTCTCTGAGCTCTGCCGCTTGATGAAGCGGTGTGGGCATCCTGAGCTCAGCACAGAAAGTGCTTTGCCACTTTCCTTGGAGTTCATAACATTAGAAATCTGGATGTTGTGAGTTTGTCAAGTCTATGATGTTTGGATTATCTTTGATTTTGTATATTTCTTACAGTGGAATTTTTAAAATTATAAAGATAATACTTGAGTACTTTCTCCTTTCAATGTCCTCAGTCACTTGTTTTCTATGTGATTTGTTCACTCATTTATCCCACTTGATATTCAGCAGCCATGTGTTGAAGCTTCCTGTGCCCCATGCATGACCTCCATGGACCCTCAACCTAATGGGGTGGGGGTGATGCTCAGATTATTACAAGACAGTGTGTTAACTGAAATTATAGAGGCTCATGCAGGAGGCTGTGGAGCCACAGCTAACACATCATTTATTTCTAACATTTATCTTGTCCCTACACCACATGCCAGGAACTGCATTAGTTTGCTGAGGAGATGGAACTGAATCAAATTCGGATCCTGAACTCAATAGTTCATAGTCTAGTGGGAGAAATATATTTCTTTTCACCATTCCATTAGCATTTTTGGCCTTTGGAATGTGGAGTTTATGAGGATTTTTTATTCCATTTGTTTACATCTGTATGTGTTCACTTATTCATTCAATCTTTCATTCAAACAAATGCCTATGGGTGCCACCCATGCGCCAGGCACTGTGCCAGGCTGTGAGGTTGCAGTGCTGAGTGAGACGGAATTCTTCACAATGGTGGTCATATAATCGGGGAAATTTTTAATGATTTGTGTGAGTCAAAACAAATTAAACCAAAAGCCGGTTTCTTTCCTGTGTCTTAGGACTCGGGCCCTGAGTTTTGATTTTCTTCCCCGTAGGACACTGATGGGGGCTTTGAAGCTGAATCTTGGGGGAGCTCCAGAAGGTCCAGCTGGGACAGGCAAGACAGAAACCACCAAAGATCTGGCCAAAGCTTTGGCAAAGCAGGTAGGAAAATACTGTCCATCCCCACCCTTTCCTCCCATTCCTCTCTAGACCCTTAACCCGGGCAGTTGGCATGCGGTTGAGGATGGGTTAGTGTAACAGGCAGAGTGGGCCCCAGCTGCTCCTGTGGAACAGGAAGCAGGAGCCCACCCCTGTTTCATGGTGCAGGGTAATTCAGATGTGTGGGGACCCACCCTGAATGGTGCCCACACCCTCCTTCTCTCTAGTGTGTGGTCTTCAACTGCTCCGATGGTCTGGATTATAAAGCCATGGGGAAGTTCTTCAAAGGGCTGGCCCAGGCTGGAGCATGGGCCTGCTTTGATGAGTTCAATAGGATTGAGGTAACCCTGCTACTGGGGCACAGAGAAGTTGGACACGAAGAGACTTTTTCTGGGTTCTCCACTCCTCAGTGACAGGGCCTTATGTCTCTTCTACAGCCTCCCGCACAGAGTAGGTACTCAATGAACTAAACAAAAACAGCCCCAAGGATATAAAACGCCTGTTTTATATACATATGCACCCTCATCATAGCCATTCTTTCACTAGCTCATTAAAAATTTATTGAGCAGCCACTGTATGAGATACTCTGCATGTGTTCATGACATAAAGGTAAGAAATGGTTTTTCTCTCTAGACTCTTACAATCTAGCAAAGGGAGATAAAAATTAAATGAAATACGATACGGTAGATATTATAGTAGTGGCACCAAAGAGACATTACAGAGAGGGGGTGATTAATTCTATTTGGGTAGGGAATTGAGATCAGGACATATAAACCTTTAATTTGAACCAATAAACGCTGTTCAAATGCATACTGTGGGTCAAGCACTATGCTAGGTGATGGGAGAAAGATGAAATACTATGGAAAACACACACACACACACTCTTCTTTTTCTTTACCAAAACCCCAGTCATGCTTCTAATTTTGAGTGTGAAGGTCTGGTTCTGAGGTGATGGGATCTTTCTCTGCTAAGTGAAGGGGACTCTGGCGGAGCGGGGCGGGTGGGCATCTGAGGCAGGAGGTCCCATCAGCCAGCCATTCCTCACCCAGGTGGAAGTGCTGTCCGTGGTGGCTCAGCAGATTCTCAGCATTCAGCAGGCCATCATCCGGAAGCTAAAGGTGTTCATCTTTGAAGGCACCGAGCTCTCTCTAAACCCAACCTGTGCTGTCTTTATCACCATGAACCCCGGGTACGCTGGCAGGGCTGAGCTGCCAGATAATCTCAAGGTAAACATCAGCGTGTATGACTGCTGGGTGTACTTATGGTATAGAAAGCTCTTGAAGTACCTGAGGGTCTCACCGAGAAGCCAGATAATGGGACCAGTGACATTATTCAGCTGTGGTAAGTAATAGTGGAGTGTTGATGGAGGTAAGATGGTACTTGGAGCTAGAACAAAACCACTCCGTCCGATGGGTGGTGGGGGGGAAGGGGCGGGAAGGAGGAGGGTAGAGATATGCATAATAATTAATGGTAAACAGGAAATAATATGCATTAGAACAAGGGTCACTATTTTTGTTGTCTTCAGGGGTCAGACAGGTAATACAAATGAGAGAAGCCAGCTGGGCACAGTAGGGACTCTAGTGAATGTCCCCCATCTGCTAGGCAACAGCCCCTACTTAGCCCAGCCTAGCAGAAATTGTTAGATCATCTCATCTTTCAGGAAAAGCCAGAAATTTGGATTTTTACATGAAATCTGATAATTAGATTCTAGCTCTACGTTAAAAAAAAAAAAAAAATCTCTGTAAGCAGAACCAAATATAGCTCCTTATAAGAAAGCATCAAAGTTGGGTACAGAGAACTTGGTAAACCTAGGCTGGACCACATGGAGCTCCCCTTTATTACTAAGCTGGTTAATGGACACCTAAGCAGTGTCCATACCAAAGCAGGCTGCCCCAACCAGCTAGAGAGATGGCAAGAGAGCATGTTTGTCCCCAGTGCCTACTGCTGAGCTGGCCTGAGCTGCAGCCATGGCAATAGTCATGGACCCTACTCCAGGTGGGAAAAGGAAGTGCCTCTAAAAAAAAAAAAAAAAAGAAAGAAAGGGCCAAGCAGACCACCCCCAGGTGAACGGACTCTGGATGACCTCAGTGTGCTTCTCCTGTGGAAGGAAAAACGCCAAGTGTGCCATGTCTGGGTCTTCTCCGGTGGGAGGAGCACCTAGCAAGAGCTCCATATGCATGAAAAGAGCAACCAGAGGAGACTCCAGGACTGCCTCTTTACTGATTTTATTCTAAGTCATTGCTCTATCCCCTTGAGTAGAAGGCACAAGAGGGACCCAGCCAAAGCCATACTCACTGACTTTAGTACAGTAATTTCTCAATGTCATTGATAGGCTCTGTGACTTTAAGCAAAACGGACATATAATGAGACCAGTTTTACAATAGGCTATTTGATATAAACAGGAATTAAGTTCCTACAGCATCTCATCAATGCTATAAAGTGACTTTGAACAAATGACATTATTTGAGGGCCTGCTGTACATGATGCTTCACCTGCTAGAAACGCATTCTTATTAGTGCCCTAGAACCTTGTTCAGACCACCACCCTCCTCCTCCCTGGGAATGGAGAAGAGTCAGGGAGTTTCTTAACAGTGGCTCCTCCCCTCTAGGTCAACACAGGCCAGTGAGAACTATAGTATGATTTTTTTTATTTATTTTACTTTTAGAGAGAGAGAGAGAGGAACATTGATGTGAGAAGCATCAATCAGCTGCCTTCTGCACGTGTCCTGAAAAGGAATCAAACCCGCAACCTAGGTATATATTCTGACCAGGAATCGAACCTGCGACCTTTTGGTGTCCAGGACAGCGTTCCAACCAACTAAGCTACCCAGCAAAGGTCTCATTTCTTATTTTTACTACTCAGCTGTTGTAACTCCCCCCTGCACCCCTCCCAGCCAACAACCACGTTAGACGTGCACAAGAAACTTCCTTGGGACAGAGTGGTACAGTAGAAAGCACCGGGGCTGGTGTCTGGAAGCCAGGGCTCTTTCTAGTCCTGGCTCTACCTTTCAGTGCATGACTTGGACAAGTCACTTCCCCTCTAAGATCTAAGGTAAGGATAACAGCAGCTGGTGTTTGTTGAGCACTCGCTACGTGCTACACACTTTTCTGAGAACCTCACTTGGTGTCATTTGTTCTCATGATAACCATGAAGAGGCTACAGTTGTCAGCCCATCTAGACACGAAAGAACTGAGGTCTAGCAGGGCTGCATAACTGGCCCACAGCTAGTAGGTAACAGAACACGGACTCAAGATTGCTCTGACTTCAGGGGTCTTCTGATACATACAGGTCCTGCATTTCTAAATGACTCCGGCTGGAAAGCTACAAAAGTTGACCAAAGCTCAGTTGGCACAGGTGAATGAGGTATTGTTAGGACGGCAGCACCTAGGGCCTTCTGCACAGCTGTGGAGGGACCCAGTGTGACAGCATGTACCTGGACAGGGCCCGTGGAGAGGTTAGTGGGGCAATGGCTCTGCCCAGTGAAGATGGTCCCTCTGCATTGACTTGTCCTCCAGCCTACCTTTCCTTGATTGTCAACAGAGTAGCCTCAGTGATCATGTTACTTCTCTCTGCCTCTGCAGATGTGCCTCCCCTAGTGCTCACTGTGTGCATTCAGGATCTGAATAGCTGTTTCTTTTCCAGGCCTTGTTCCGGACAGTGGCCATGATGGTGCCAGACTATGCCCTCATTGGAGAAATCTCTCTCTACTCTATGGGGTTTCTGGACTCCAGAAGGTATGTTACATTGGTTTTCCAGTGGGATCGAAAGGCCCTGAAAGTGTGGCTTTTTGTGTGCATTCAAGGTGGGTTGCCCATTGGAAAAGAGAAATTGAGAAATAGACTTCTGCTCGCAAGTTGATGTGAAGGCACCTAGCCCTGGCCTTGGTCCTGATCTGATCCCTGAATGAAAAACGACCCATCTTGCCAAGAAAAGGCCTCCTCTTTCTTTATGTACACCTGGACTTCAATTAAAGAAATCAGCCGCTCATCTGCTTGCCACTCCTCGCTGCAACATGCATGCATGTGCACAGATACACACACATACACATCCTAAATGGCTTAAGACAAGGCTGAAAAACATGAAATTATTCCAAGATTGAAGGGGAAATTTTAATATAATTTAGAATTAACATTGTTATCAATATAACTTTTATTTACTTCAACCAACTGGGTATCTCTCATTCCGGTATTGCCCAGTTTGCTGAGACACACACACAGAGGTGAGTGTCTTCATCACATGCACCCTGAGCTATTAGTATCATTGTAAAATGGCTTCTATTGGCCTATTTCAAATCTTACATTTGTCTTTTTCCATTGTCCTGGCCATAACCAATTAATGTTTTGCTGCCGTAGAGGTCTGCAAAGGCCTCGGTGCATTTGTGGCCTGGCTGTTCTCCTTGATCCAAGGGACTGCAGACTTCTGAACAGCATGTGCCCCCTTCCTAGGCCAAGTGGCTGTCTCATCACATGAAGCTTAATTTATTTTTTCTGTAAGAGATCTGGATTATGTTGATTTGCCCATTGAATTTATTTATTTACTCAATTGACATCCTTTATTGAGCCTTATGTCCACCCTTGTGCTAGGTGCTGGTAAACAGTACTGTCTGCTTTTAAAATAAATCAGCCTTGTAGAGCGGATTCCCCACCAGGGGATGTGCATCAGTGCATTGATCCCCAACCCCACTGGCTTAGCATAGAAAAGCTTATGTTTCACTCAGGAAAACCCCAAATGGGTGTTTGTGATCAGGGGCAGTTCCTCCTGAAGGTAAGGAACCGGTTTCTTTTATGTCACTGCTGCAACACACGAGCATGAAGGATCCCACAGGGCAAGCCTTTATGGACCGGCCCTGGAAGCGGCATGCCCCCCTGTCATTCCCGTGCCACTGGCGAACACCGGGAGCCGGGGCTAGCCCTGCCTGTGCAGGAGGCTAGGATGTGTGGTCCAGCTCTGTGCCCAGGAAGAGTAAGAAATGGGAGTGCCTGTGAGTATGCGCGTGTTGTGTACTGAGGCTACTGAAGCTTGACCTGGCTTTTAAATCTAAAGAGTAAAGCATGGCCATTAAAAAAATCATAATGTTATAGATGTGAAAAATGTGAGCTTCACTTCAGTGACCCTTAGTCCCACTGTCTGGGGATTAATGATTAACATTAATAGTTTGATGTGTACTCTCCAAATGTGTGTGTGTTCATGTGTGTGTGTGTGTACACATACATTCACATAAACATGTAAAAGTACATATACCTATAATCTGTCATACAGTATATTGTACACCTGTGTGTGCTTGCTTTTTTTGTTTGTTTTAATTATATCTTTATTGATTTCAGAGAGAGGAAAGGAGAGAGAGAGAGAGAGAAACATCAATGATGAGAGAGTCATTGATCGGCTGCCTCCTGCACGCCCCCAACTGGGGATCGAGCCTGCAACCCGGGCATGTGCCCTGACTGGCAATCGAACTGTGACCTCCTGGATCCTAGTTCGATGCTCAACCGTTGAGCCCCACCTGTCTGAGCTGTGCTTGCTTTTTTTTACCCTAATTTTGAGGGTTACAATGCTTCCGTAGCTCATTCCGGCAACTGCGTTAGGAGGCCTTCGAATGACGGGGCTTCCTCGAGTCCACGGGCAGCCTGGTGTCTGAAGGGTCAGGGCACAAGGATGTGGGAGTGTGTACTGAGCAGGACGTGTTCCTCCTGGGGGTGTACAGACACATGTCTTTATCGCCCAGTCTTGCCCAGAAGATCGTGGCAACCTATCGCCTGTGCTCCGAGCAGCTCTCCTCTCAGCATCACTACGACTACGGCATGCGCGCCGTCAAGTCCGTGCTCACCGCCGCTGGCAACCTCAAGCTCAAGTACCCAGTGGAGAACGAGAGTGTCCTGCTGCTCCGGGCCTTGCTTGACGTCAACCTGGCCAAGTTCTTGGCTCAGGATGTCCCTCTGTTTCAGGTATGCGGTGGGACTGGCTCTGGGACTCACCTTCTGCAGGTGAAATGTTTCCCTGGCAACCCCTCCATGCCCTCTCCATCTCCTGACAGCCAGCATCCCTGTTGCCAGCTACCCTCCCCCAAATGATAAATAATGGTGATGGCAACATCTGTCTAGTTACCAATTTTAATAAAGATGGTTTCACTGACAGGATAATATTACCAATTGGGGGTTTCTACCAAATTTAATTAGTTTCCTTTTATAATTATTTTAATGCCTGCCTTCTTTACCAGGTTGTTAGTGCCATAAAGACAGAAGTCAGGACTGACTTCTCCATTCCTAGTACAATGAATGGAAGATAGCACAGGCGCATTAAATATTTGCTGACTTTTAAAATAATTTGGGAGGGAAATCATGTTGAACAGATGGTGTCAGAGTATGTAATTGTGGATGAGTTATGGTGCAGGACAAAATGAGGTTTGGAATTTTTCGAAGATTTTTGTAGATCTCATTTTAGGACAATGTGAAGGTCACGTAGCTGACAACCCATCCTTCCTACCTTCTCTCAAATTCTGGTCACCAGGGAATTATATCAGATTTGTTCCCTGGAGTTGTTCTTCCAAAGTCCGACTACGAAGTTTTCATGGAAGTGCTGAATGACAACATCAGCAAGATGAAACTCCAGCCAGTGCCGTGGTTTATTGGGAAAATTATCCAGGTTGGTTCCTCAGACTCATATGGGCATGTACCTATTTTACTGTTTGCTAAAGTGAGAAACTAGAAAGAACTGTGGCACATTGGAATGGTGACAGCAATCAGAGGTGCCTGAGGAGAGGGCCAGGGAGAGAGGAAGGCACCTTTCTCTGCTGTGCCTTCCTTTCATTTCCAAGTTGAAGTTTAAAATTCAGTATTTTCCTATGACCATCTTCCTTGAGGTTTCTTTTTTTTTAATTTGGGGGTCTTCCCTTTGGGGCACTGGGCCTTGAATTAGCCCGGACTTTCTCAGTTCGCAGTGATAGAAACCTGGCCTTCGTCAACAAAAGGGAATTTATTCGCTCACCTAGCCTGAATAGTGTAGGAATACGCTGGCCTCAGGCCCGGCAGGATGCAGGTTTCTATATGACACCACCAGGAATCTGTCTCTCTTCTTTTCTGAGCTGTCTGTCTCTGCATTAAAACTTCATTTTTGGTTGGGCCACCGCAGCCTCAGGCTGAGGTTGTCCCTGGTTCGAGCCCAGAAGGGAAAAGAGCTTCACCCTCCAAGTGGCCTCAGCCAACGTCTCAGGATCAGCTGTGAATGGTGCCAAGAGTCACAAGACCATCCCCAAACCAGTGACGGAGGAGATCATTTACACTTTACAGAGCGGGGTCTGGCTCGGAAAGTGCATTTCATCTCCTGAGAGCTCCAGTCAAGTCAGAGTAGCAGTCAGGCCTCAAGAGAGGACGTTTCCAATAGAAATGCAATTTGCTAAAATGACACTGTTTCCATTTCCTGCAGGGAACAGGCAAATGGCTGTCAGTTGGGAGGGGGATTGGGGGACGGGTGAAAAAGGTGAAAAGAGTGAGAAGAAATACAGATTGGTTGTTACAGAAGAGTTGAGGGGATGTAAAGCACAGCACAGGGAATGTAGCCAATAATATTGTAATAATGTCTGTGCGGTGCCAGGTGGGCACTGGAAATATCAAGGGGAGCACTGTCAAGTATGTGATTGTCTAACCACTATGCTGTACACCTGGAGCTAATATAAAATATATTGAGTGTAAACTGTCATTGAAAGAAAAAATTTTAATGTAAAAGTAAAAAACAAATAAAATGGATCAATCAAAAAACAAACAAGCAAGCAAATAGAAATGGCATAATGAAAAGATTAGGGGCACTGCAGTCAGAGAGCCTGGTGTTCGAATCTTGGCTCTGCCACTGATAAGCCCAGGCAAGTGACTCCACCTCGTCTGAGCTTGTAATTCCCACCGTTAGAAGGTAGTCAATGATGCCTGGATAAATTAAATGAAATAAGTAAGTCACTTGATGTTTAGCACATAGACAGGTGCAGAGTAAATAGTAATCCCAATCTCTTTATTTTTATTTTTTATTTTTATTTTTTAAATATATCTTTATTGATTTTAGAGAGAGAACAGGAGAGGGAAAGAGAGAGACAGAAACATCAACGATGAGAGAGTCATTGATCGAGCCCGCAACCCGGGCATGTGCCCTGACCGGGAGTCGAACCCCGATCGCCTGGATCCTAGGTCGATGCTCAACCTCTGAGCCACGCCCGGCCGGGCCCCAATCTCTTAAATAATCTGAGACACACACACCTTATTTCATCCAAAAGACATTAGACAATTTATCATACAAAAGACTGTGGTTTGCAGAGGCGGATGTGACTGTGGGGATGCCCTTTGACCTTCCATTCCTTATGGACTCTGACTCCCTCGAAGTTCTGGGAGGTCTGCAGTGATTCACTTCTTACACGCTGTCTCCTCTCAGATCTATGAGATGATGCTGGTGAGACATGGCTACATGATTGTCGGAGACCCCATGGGTGGCAAGACCTGTGCTTATAAAGTGCTGGCTGCAGCTCTGGGTGACTTAAACAAAGGTAAGGCTCACATCCCCCACCTCTGGGGAGGACAGGATCCTCAGTCAGATGGCTGGCTCCGCGTCAGAGCCAGAAATAGAACCTGGCACACAGATCTGCAAGCAGAAAATAAGGGAGGAGGGAGCCTCCAGCGGGATTTTCTGTGTCCGTCATTGAGACTGGAGGAATTTTCTCAATTGCTGAACAGTTGGCTTCTCCAAAGGTTTCCCAGTGAGAGAGAAATTCTAAAAAACAATTATTCTAAAAGCAAATCATTGCATGTTTTCTTTCCCTTTTTTCTCCCCCACTCCCCCTGCTTCTTCCCTCCCTCCCTCGCCCCTTTAATATAGATGATGAGACTTTTTAATCAGACCCAGACCTTGAGCAAGTGACTAAACCTCTTTTAGCCCCTGTTTTTCCAGCTGTAGATGGGATTATTTTGAGATTTATGTGAGATTATGCAGGTAACAAACCTAACACAGTTCCTGCTCAGCAAATGGAAGCTATGTTTATTGCCAGAGAAACAAATTTGGGGG